GGTAAAAATAAAATAATGCATAAAACTAACTCCTCTCGTCACTTTATCTTTCAAAAAAAGCTCCTACCTAAAAATGTTCACTACAAATGAGGTCATTAGACATGCATAGCTAAGTCTTAGATTTGATAACTTTGGAAAGGATTACAACATATACCCTCTCATGTCTCTGAAACCTTATCCAATCTTCTGAGCATTTACGAACCAGCTGATCCCTATCTGGCGCAGTTAAAATTAGACAAAATTTCTGTGAAGTTGGACGAATCCCGAAATACTACAACAAAGAAACCGAAAAGAATCTTGCGTCTAAATCTTTTGCGGCTGTTCTAATGAACGTATTATTACACACAAACACGATTCAGAAAACGTAAGTTTAACTATACGTAAGAACATCGAGCGTATCGAATTCTCAGAAGTTTTAAAATGTTTTAAGATGTTTTGCTGTCTTCGTTTTCGTAACCTTTGAAGTCGAAGAATATGAATGTTTTGTATTCGCACAAATCGAAACAAACCTTTCATATTTCCTTGTCCTGTTTCAAACAAAGCACGCGTGATATAAAGTAAAACGGTCCAGGTTTTAGTACCTTTTTTTATCTATTTATACTAAAATACCCGCGTGATTTTCTACATAAATATTTTTGTATACAGGAGTCTGAAATATATGAATGATAGTGTGCTTTTAATACGCAGGTGTTAGGCTGACAAAATTCTCTATCGGTTTTACAATACTTTTTAAATAACTACCCATATGTCACATGTCGCTCTCTACTTGCGCTATCTAAAAAAATATTGCGATAAATTGGATATCTTTAAACGAGATTTTGAGTTTAGAATTATGTAGTTAATTACTTACACAATGGTTTTAATTTTTTTCCGAGTTCATGATCTAAAATCGGATTATGTGTTTATGACAAAAGTGATTATTTGATAATTTATTACTTCCAGCTATTGTAACACGATAATTACAATTGTTGCTAGATTATCAAATTAATGCAACACCACCCTTAAAATATAAATATATATATATATATATATATATTAGTGTGCAGTTCGTGCCTCATTAGAAACTATGTAATTTGTTAGAATATTAGTTTCTAAAAATATTGTGCGCATTATTATTGCTATTTTTTTATTATTTTTTTTTAGTTTTAGGTCTTTAGTTTCAGTTGATGCACGAAGTATAAACACAATTTTAATTAATTAAATTTAGGTGTTTTGTTTTTAAGTCTCCTCCCTTGAGTTGCTAGGAAATAAAAGAATTTGCTTATCTAATAAAATTGGTTTCATATTGTTGCTTGATCAGGCCCTCTCGGTGACTCAGCGGTAAAACACTGAAAACAGATAAACTTATTAGGAAAAACCCGGAATGGAAAAGATAAGGAGTTTAAGTTATTAATTCCTGCAACAAGCTTAAATATCATTAAAGAATAATTAGGATTTATGACGTCCTATGTTGGTCTATAAATATTTCAAAACTAAGCGATCTTCTTCTTGCATAAAACATACATTTACTGGGTAACTCAAACATACAACCATAACAAAGTACGAGGTAACTCAATAGAGTTCTACACGAGAACATCTTATAAATAGTTAAAATAAGAGAAGACACTAAGTTAATATACTAACGTACTTGTATACACACAAACGTAAGTTTACAGCCTATTTCAGCGGATCGTTATATCATAGAAAATAACCGATGAATATTTGTACTTATACGTACTGTAAGCTGAAAGTTGTTGTTAAGCACAAAGTTACGCAAAGAGTTATTTGTGGTTTGCCCACCGCGGGAATCGAAACATAAATTTTGTCGTTTTGAGCCCCAGTCTCACCGGTGAGCCACCGAGGGGCTACTATAATATTCCACAGTATGCTTTAAAACGTGTTAGCTAGAACGAACACGCCTTTTCAACACCTTGACTACTTCAGATGACATACAACCAAAAATATTTTTTTTAAAATCAGACTAACTTTGGAAAACTGACTTTCATTGTTGTTTGCTTAGTACAGGGCTACACAATGATTTATCTGCACTCTGTTTGTTTGTTTGTTTTGAATTTCGCGCAAAGCTACACGAGGGGTATCTGCGCTAGCCATCCCTAATTTAGCAGTGTAAGACTACAGGGAAGGCAGCTAGTCATCACCACCCACGCCAACTC